AACGGGGGAGGGGCAGCGCCATGCAAATGAAGCGGGTGGCGGGGAAACCCCGGCAGGGGGCGGGGCCTGCGGAAGCGGCTCGGAGTGTTCTGGAAGTGGCAGAAGCACAACGCCCTTAACTCTGCTGCAGGGCTTACCTCGGCTCCCTCGGGGCGGGTTCCACGCAGTTCCCGCTTCCTCCTTTCTCTTTCCCAGTGCCAGCCCGGGGGAAGGGGGAAAAAAAAAAAACACAGCCGGCAGACTTTCCATCCGTGCTTTGCTATTTTTGTACCTCCGTGACAGGAAAACAAAATGCTGAGGAAAAATCAGTCGACTTCAGTCCCTGCCGCCCGCGCCGGGGCCTCGACTACACTTGGCGTCCGCGGCTTTCGCCCGCCGCTCCAAGCACGAATTTTAAGAGATTTCTCACAATTGTCAAGTCCGCAAGCGTTTGCTTTTATTTGGGCCGTGCGCTCAAATCCACTCATAATTCTTTCTGACCTCACCTGAAGTAGATGACAAATTTGCCTTGGATCCAATAGGGTGGTTTTATGATTTAAAAAAACACCAGAGAAAGCATTTTTAAGTCTCTACAAATCTGGTTTGAGTGGCGCTGGACCTCTCTCTGTAGTAACACTGTCAAATAAATAAACGGAGTTTATGTGGAGATAGTTGGCCACCGACACCCAAAAACACTTCTGAGCGTCTTGCACCTGGCCCCGCGCTCCACTCACCACAAAGCAAACCTGCACCCGGGCACTTCCCCAGCCACGAACTAGATTTTTTTTTAAACAACTCTAAATGTAGCTTCTTAGATGTTGTATCACAGCCTTTCCTAAGCACCTAATTTACACATGAAATGATTTAAGGAACGAAGAGCAATAGGCTTTTTAAGTCAGAAGGATGATTGCCATTATTTTAACCTTATCAATTGGATAAGATCCCAGGGGCGGGAGAGGGGAGAAATCCAAGGAACTGCAGTCATAACAAAGCGTAATCCGTAACATAGATAACTGGAATTGCAAAATTGCAAAATTGCAAAATTACTTGTTCCTGGTTCTTCTAGTAGATTGTGATATTACTGAAATAATTTTTATGACCAGCTGCATTTATTGGAGATAATTTTTTAAAATTTACTGAATAATTGCACCTCAATATGGGGCAAGGGAAGAATTTTAGGAAATTGATTTACTTTCATTGTAATAAAAATTGTAAGCTAATGATGTGTTGTGAAAAATAATTAAATCAGCAAGTATTTATTGGATATTTACCATATTCAAAGGACTGTCCTAGTCCCTGGGGAGAGAAATGCAAAAATGAATAAAGAATTTTTTAAAGTTTTGTTTTTTTAATTAGCAGTTCGAGACGTCTAATAAGCATGTGTTAAGATAGATCAAAGGAAAATTCTGGATTTGAGTTGGATGTTTAAAATACTTTAGAGAGGGGAGGAAGGCATCAATAGTTCAGGAGATAGTGTCCTTGGGTGATTTGAGGAGATGTTGTGTGAATGTTTGGGGGGTAGAAAAGTACGTTGTCAACTAGATTGAGTAAATCTTGAATGACAGGAATTCAGATTTTAACCTGAGGGAACTGTAGAGACATCAAATCATTTGATGGTACAGTTTTCTGTGAAATAATTTTTTGTTACCAAACAAAATATTTATATATTTGCCAAATGTTTATTGAACACATGTTTTGTGATGGCTAATGAAGATATATTAGTAAATTCCCTATCATGGAGTTTATAGGGTATGACAAAGGTATTAAGTTTTGTAATTACAGAAATAGTAATTCATACAGCATTTCTACATATATTTTCTAATTTGTTCATCACATAGCCATGGGAGGTAGGCTGTTTCCAATACTCTAGATTAATTCTTTTTTTTTTTTTTTTTTTTTTTTTTTGAGACGGAGTTTCACACTGTCGCCCAGGCTGGAGTGCAGTGGCGCCATCTCGGCTGACTGCAAGCTCTGCCTTCCGGGTTCAGGCCTTTCTCCTGCCTCAGCCTCCTGAGTAGCTGGGACTACAGGTGCCTGCCACCACGCCTGGCTTTTTTTTTTTGTATTTGTAGTAGAGACGGCGTTTCACCATGTTAGCCAGGATGGTCTAGATCTCCTGACCTGGTGATCCACCCACCTTGGCCTCCCAAAGTGCTGGGATTACAGGTGTGAACCACTGCACCCAGCCACTCCAGATTAATTCTTTTATCTTCTAGTCAGCCCTGCTGCTTGCCAGATGTTACAGACCTTAAATAAATATTTCAATCTATCAAGTTGTCATACATGTACATTTTCCCTATTCCTTTTATATTCAGTTTAATAGGAATGTGCGGAGATGATTAACAAAAATATGGGTTTGATATAAAATATATAGGAAAGCACAAAGAAGAAAACCACAATCATATGCAAAGCCTGCTGTATTTTATATGTATGACACTGTGCATACTGTTTTTTTAATCCCATTTAGCTACATATTAAGCACACTATCCCTTGACACTGAATATTGTTCTAAAGCATGATTTTATTATATGTAGCATATACATGCCAGTTTTCCAGACACTATAGAATATCAGTTCTCCTTATTACAAAAATTGACATACTGAATCATTTGCCAAATTATTTTCTATATTACTCAGCAACAGCCTGAAAAGTGCATGTAGCTAATATTTTTTTTAAATCAAGGACATATTATTTAGAAGGTACATTAAAAGCATTCTAATTTCCAAGAAAAAAATGTAACAGTGGTAAGAATAGAACACTTTAAAATCCAGCAAGAACAAGGAGAAGTAAAGGGCACCATTCTTGCTGACATAATAATTACCTATCTGGAAGCTTGTAAAAATGTCCAGGTAAGCAGTATTACAATGATTTCATGAGATAAACTTCTCTCTTCAACACTGGTTTTTATTCAGTCATTCCTTTCACTCAAGAAACACATTCATGCAACACTTAGTATAGCTGACACTGTGATACATGCTAGAGATAAAGGAGAAAGATCAATCTTTAATTTCAAGCAACTCACAGCCAAAAAGGGGCTTTTCTATCCCCCTTCGTGACTTTTTCTCCATAGCACTTATCACCATCTAATGTAACATAGATTTTGATTTTTTTACTTTTGTTGTCTATCGCCCTAAATTAAACCATAAGCTCCATGAAGTCAGGCACTTTTGCTGGTTTGCTCATTGCTGTATCCCCAGAGCCTAGGACAGGGCCTGACACGTGGATTCTCAACGCATATTTATTGACTGGATAAATTAATTTTCACATCCCGCAAAGTGAATGTTATATTCATTTTCCAGGTGAAAAAAAATATGAAGCTCAGTGAGATTAGTGTTCCTAGATTCTTATGCTAATAAATGGCCCATTTTGAAGACAGACCTGACTGGCTCCAAAGCCAGAGTTCTTTCCTCACTACCTCTCACAGAATAGAAAGCTATCCTATCCCATCCCATCCCGTCCTGTCCCATTCCGTCCCATCCCATCCTATCCTAGCTTGTACTATTTATTTCTCTATATTTCTATGCCCTGAGAAACTGTCCCCCACTGTTATATTCCAGTATATTTAATTCTTTTTGTATGATCAGGTTTAGAAAGGGAAACAGAAGAAGCAGAAGGGTTAAACATGATAATCCCTACTCAGGACAGATTTAGCTTTAACCAGTATCTATAGACAAGCAAAGGGTAGAGGTAGGTAGCAAGACCTATAAGAATCTTCAAACCAGGGCTAAGTACAACAGAGAAAAGAACTGGCCCATGACTAAAGGGGAACAAAATTACTTCCTGTGTATACGAATATCCATGGCACTTTTATTCACAACAGCCTCAAACTGGAAATTAGCCCTAAGATCCATCACCTTTGAAAGGATAAAGAGCTGGGCACAGTGACTCACGCCTGTAATCCCAACACTTTGGGAGGCCGAGGTGGGCAGATCACCTGAAATCAGGATTTCCAGATTATCCTGACCAACATGGTGAAATCCTATCTCTACTAAAAATACAAAATTACCCGGGCATGGTGGTACATGCCTATAATCCCAGCTACTTGGGAGGCTGAGGCAGGATAATCACTTGAACCCAAGGGGACAGAGGGTGCAGTGAGCAGAGATCATGCCATTGCACTCTAGCCTGGGCAACAAGAGCGAAACTCCAAAAA